TTTGAGCTTCAAAACCGCCTATAATTTAAAGAAATATACGGTAGAGCTGTTTAAAGTTACACCGTGGAACATTTTAATGACATTTATAGCTCAAAAATACCTAGAAAAACAAACATTCTGACTGTGAGCGGAGTCGCCTCTCCACAGATCTGACCTGTAACTTGGTCTGATTTGGTTTCCCTGAAGAAAACCAAAGACAAATAAAGACATTCTTCTCTTCTTCTATTCTTCTTCTTCTTTGTCTGAAATGTTCCACAGTGTAGCATTAAACCTTTTCGTGTCCATGGAAACCACACCAGACTAAGTTACAGGTCAGATCTGTGGAGAGGCGATGCTGCTCACACTCAGAATGTTGTTTTCTTGGTATTTTTGAGCTGTAAAACAATCTGTAATCGAATAAATGTAAAGTAGAGCTGTTTAAAGTCACACTGTGGAACATTCTGATGACATATACACCTCGCCTCTCCACAAACCTGACCCGTAACTTGGTCTAGTTCAGTCTCCATGAAGATAGAAAGGTTTAATATGACTAAAAATACTGTGAAAGATTCCAGACAAAGCAATAACGTCTCCATGGAGAAAAACAGTTGGTTTTCGTTACGCTTCTCTTCGCACATGGGTTGTCTTAAAGCTGCATTGTGTAACTTTTCTGGCCTATCAGATGTTTTTCTCCATGGAGATGTTATTATCTTTTTTATCTAATTATTTATTTCTACACTTGCACTTCATTTCACTCTATCTATTACAATGACAAAAAATAAAGAAACTCTTCCCTTCTTTTTTTCTTCTTTGTCTGGAATATTCATGGAGACCAAACCAGACTAATTTACAAGTCAGATCTGTGGAGAGGCGAGCCCACTCAGCAGAGGCGGTGACTCGAGTCAGACTTGAGTCACTATTTTTAGGACTTGAGACTTGACTTGATAAAATGGACTAAGACTTGGAACTCGACTCGGACTTGAGGGTCAGTGACTTGAGAAGCACTTTTAAGTCTGAATTCTTTCTGTTCTGACTGCAATGATTCACACTAAGATCTTGTCAAAACATTTAAAAAGGAAAAATTTACATTTCTACAACTCTTATATACTCTATAAATACTCAAATATAAATATACCATGACTTTTTAAGTACAATTTAGTTTAAAATTCATATAAATTGCAAAAATCTAAGCTGTGTTTGGTACTTTGGTTTAATGCCTTGAAATGACTCAAAGCTCAAAGCTCAGACGACTTGGACTTGACTTGGACTTACGGGCCAGTGACTTGAAACTCGACTTGGACTTGCCTGTATTTGACTTGGGACTTGACTCGGACTCGAGGTCAAAGACTTGAGACTCTCAAAATAACGACTTGGTCCCACCTGTGCTGCTGAGTTTGTCTGTTCTTCTCTGTTTTTCTAGATATTTTTGAGCTATAAAACCACTTGTAATTGATTAAATGTAAAGTAGAACTGTTAAAAGTCACACTGTGGAACATTCTAATCGCACTTATAGCTCAAAAATACCTCGCCTCTCCACAAACCTGACCCGTAACTCGATCTGATTTGGTTTCCTTGAAGGTAGAAAGCTTTAATACGACTAAAAACACTCTGAAACATTCCAGACAAAGCAATGACACCTCCAGGAAACAAAAATCAGCCGACGTCGACGAACTTCACCACCAGAAAAGTTCCACAGCGCCGCTTTAATCCGAACGTCCGCGCGGACCGTGGCTCGAGCGGACTTCAGGGGAGAGTGGTGATGCGGTCCAGATTTTGGTCCTTTGTTTTGATCTGCGCCTGAGCTCTCCCAGCCAGATCCGCCGTGACAGGTCCAGACTCGGGGAAGCGAACGCCGGGGCCGTTGTTGTGCTTTTCGCAATCAAGCGCCCGGCCCAGTCCCGTCGTAATCTACTCCACATGTTTCGCCGTTTTCGTTTTCCCGTAGACGCGTTCGTGCCGCCGAGGGGAGAGAGAGAAGACGCGAATGTGCAATCACGCGTCGAGGGCCCCGGGCGACGCGGCTCGACGTTACCCGAGCGGTGACCCGAGGCGGACGGCGGGATCGCGGGTCGGCTTCGGCACGGAATGTTTCGAACGCCGTCGTAAATGTTTTTAAAGCGTTGTTAAAATGTAGAGCCGGGGGGGGGGGGGGGTTCTCGGGGGCCCCGGCCGTAGACGAAGGAGCGGCGCATATTTTTCGGGGGGCCAGCGGGCTGCGATTCAAAGTCCGGGTTACGGCGGAGTGAATGGGAGACAGGTTGAGGGGGCATTCGAGGATTAAAGGGGAGCTTTGATCAGGCGGTCGAGGTGGTTTGACAGCTCGGGACGGTGATTGGAAGTGACTGGACATTACTCTTTTTAAGGCTTTTCTTGCTTTTGTCTCAGAAACGCGGAGGGGAGATTTATTCCACCGCGCCGCCGCCCACCAGCCTCCGTCAGCAACTCCTGACCCAAACTGACGACCCCGTTACCAAGTCATGCACAACGGGAGAGCGGAGGACGCGCGGAGTTCGTTTTAACGTCGTCGTGACGTCAAACGTCTCCGGTGATTTGAGATTAAATTCCTCGTTTTTGTTGGTGCAGATTTGTCAAATGAAAATGCACACCAAACTCGCAAGGTAAAATAAAAGTGAAGAGTTTCATTCTTTCATTCAGTTTTCAAAATAAAACCAAAAATAAGAAAAAAAAAAAAAAAAAAAACAATTTTCTTCATTATTTGTTTCCACAATCAAAATGAAAAAAACAAACAAACTGATAACGATTCGTTTTTTCAGTTTTTGATTTTAACAGATAACAACAATTTCCCGTTTCCGTGACTTAAGCTGTGATGCCGGACTGAACCAGGACTGAACCAGGACTGAACCAGGACTGAACCAGGACTGAACCAGGACTGAACCAGGACTGAACCAGGACTGAACCAGGACTGAACCAGGACTGAACCAGGACTGAACCAGGACTGAACCAGGACTGAACCAGGACTGAACCAGGACTGAACCAGGACTGAACCAGGACTGAACCAGGACTGAACCAGGACTGAACCAGGACTGAACCAGGACTGAACCAGGATGAACCAGGATGAACCAGGACTGAACCAGGACTGAACCAGGACTGAGGACTGAACAGGACCAGGACTGAACAGGAACTGAGACCGGGACCAGACCAGGACTGAGACCGGGACCAGACTGGGACCAGACACGGACTCAGACCGAAAACAGGACCAAGACTGAGACCTGGACCAGACCGGGACTAAGACCAGAACTGAGACTGGAATCAGACTGGGACTCAGATGAGGGCTGAGGCCGAGATCAGACCAGGACCAGAACTGAGACTGGGACCAGACAGGGACTGAGACCGAAAACAGGACCAAGACTGAGACCGGGACCAGACCGGGACTCAGACCAGAACTGAGACTGGAATCAGACTGGGACTCAGATGAGGGCTGAGGCCGAGATCAGACCAGGACCAGAACTGAGACTGGGACCAGACTGGGACCAGACTGAGACCAGACAGGGACTGAGACCGAAAACAGGACCAAGACTGAGACCGGGACCAGACCGGGACTCAGACCAGAACTGAGACTGGGACCAGATCAGGACTGAAAATGGTTTAGTCTTTGTTCAGTCCTGGTTTAGTCCGTATGCGCTGCAAAAGTCCGACATCACAGTTTAAGTCAAGTAAACGGGAAACGTGCATTATCCATTTTTTCCATTTTTCATTTAAACACAAAATCAAAACCCCCCTGACCCCGTTACCAAGTCATGCACAACGGGAGAGCGGAGGAGGCACAGAGTTTGTTTTAACGTCGCTGTGATGTCAAACGTCTCTGTTGATTTGAGATTAAATCCTCGTTTTTGTTGGTGCAGATTTGTCAAATGAAAACAGAAAAACACACTTCAAACTTCATGTAAACTCAAATCTGTGTATCATTCGTTCATTTGTTTTTCAAAATTAAACCAAAAATAAGAAAACAAAAAAAACAACTATTTTCCGCATTATTTGTCTCCAAAACTAAAATGAAAAAACAGATAATGATTCGTTTTTTCAATTTTTGATTTTGTGTTTAAATGAAAAATGGGGAAAAAAAAGATAACGACCGTTTCCCGTTTACGTGATTTAAACTGAGATGTCGGACTGAACCAGGTCCGGGACCAGACTGGAACCAAGACCAGGAATTAGACTGGGACTGAGACCAGGATTGAGACTGGGAACGGGACCAGACCAGGAACAGGAGCAGGACTGAAAGCGGGACCAGACCAAGAGTGAGACCAGAACTGAGACTGGGAACAGGACCAGAACTGAGACCGGGACCAGAACAGAACTGAGACCAGGACTGTAACTGGGACTGAGACCAGGACCAGACCGGGACCAAACCGAGATCAGACAGGGACTGAGACCAGGACTGAGACCAAGACTGAGACCAGGACTGAGACAGACTGAAAACAGTTTAGTCTTGGTTTAGTCCCGTTTTAGTCCTGTTTTAGTCGTGGTTCAGTCCGGCATCACACGTAACCGGGAAAAGGTCGTAATCCGTTTTTTTCCATTTTTCATTTAAACACAAAATCAAAAACTGAAAAAAACTGAATGAATATCTGTTTTTTCATTTTCCTTTTGGAGATAAATAATGAAGAACACAGTTTTCTTATTTTTGGTTTTATATTGAAAAACTAATGAACGAATGATAAACAGATTCATTCATAGGCCGATGTCCAAAAGCTTTTTTTTTTTAAATAACGTTACGGTTTCCGTGAAGTGAAAGTGACTGATGAATGAGGTTAGGGGTTTAGGTTGGTAGATTCAAATAAAACTACGTTTAAGTTTCTTTTCAGATAAGTCAGTTCTTTCTGGTCACATTGTGGTAAAATAAAACTCAGATTAAAGTCTAACAGAGCTTCAGACAGAGCAGTGCCTTCAGTTAGCATCACGCCCACAGTGAATGTTGTCTGAAGTCTGAATTAAAAGACCACATAATGTTTTCATCACCCATCCTGATGGGCAGTGTTATCTTTACAATTGTCTCGTACCTTCACATCAGACGTGTCCCTCTGACAGTTCCTCCAGGCTCTGGACACGGAGGAGAAGGTGCGGTCGGCGTGATCGAACTTTCCTCCTTGGAAGTTCAGGAAGAACGTGGTGAAGGGCTCCTGACAAACAAACAAAAGGTAAACAAATGATACACGGTCTCTTTTTTTTATACTTTCTCTTATTTATATATATATTTATATATCTCTTTACATCACCCACTGACACACACTCATACACCAGAGCATTTTATTTATTTATTTATTTACTTACTTACTTACTTATTTACTTATTTTATTTTATTTTATTTATTTATAGGTGTTTTTTAGTTTTTTTGTGCCATTTTATGTATTTATTTATTTTTAGATTCTTTTTTGACAGTGACAATGACAGTGAAGACACGGACAACATTTTCATGTTTGACCATGTTTATTTGTTACACGACATAGTGATACGGCACCTGTTATAGGAGCGTCTGGAACAGCGAACAGATCAAGTGGTTGAGCTGCGTTCATGCGCTGCAGTAAAGAGCAACGTTTGTTACTTCAAACACCAGGTCTTGATGGAAACATGTGTGGGATACATTTGGATTATTTTTCAATGAGGAAATAATACGCCACGATAAAGAAGGTTTAACGCGACAGTACAGCTCTGGCAGTTTTGCGTCTCTCTGTGGGAGTGAATGAAGCGAGAGGAGGACACGCCCCCCACGCTTCCAGATGTGGCTCCGCCTTTACCAGTTACGCTGATCGCCAGACAATCCGGACACCGACAGGAGACTCAGCGCTGCGCTGCGCAACATCCGGCGTCAATGGGTTAATTAAATAATAATAATTAAAACAATAAATAAATAATAAATAAAAATTTAATAATAATTAAATAAATTGAATATTAAATAATAATTAACAACATAAATAATTAAATAACTAAGAATAAAATAAGACACTGAGCAGAATTAAATAAAGACGATTTAACGTGTTTTCCTTGTTAACCTCAATTCTGAATTATTATTTTTATGTAAACTCGACGGAGAATAATTTAAATCCAAACTATTTAAGTCATAACAATTAATTTGGAATAAAAAAACATCATGTAAACGTGGCCAAACTCACTTTTAATGAACTTCACGCTGTTAAACCTGAAACTGAACAGAGAAACGCCCCAAAACCTGCTCTTTGACGTAAAAAAAAAATTAGCGAGCGAGCAAACCGTGATCCCAGTGAGCTCCTAAACCCAGCGCGCCGACGTTACCGATGCGTTTCTAATCATGTTTAATCTTGTTAAGGCCGATCAATACCTGCCTCTCCGACCGAACGGCTCCCAGGCGACACGGGCGAAGTCTGCGGGAGAACGTCTGAACAACAAACACCGTAAAGAGCTCATTAAGTCCACGCGCACAAACGACCCCACTGGAGAAACCACGCCAAACGACGCACACTTTGCATTGACATCTTGCTGCGGGTGCTCTACGCGTATGTCTATGGTGGAATTTTCAGGAGTTTCCATGGTTACACAGTGCACACGTCGGCCAGAAGGCAAAATTCGGTTTAAATAGTCTGAAAAATCAAGAAATAAACCCAAAATGGATTAAAACTAGACATTTTCAGGAGCTGTGATGAGTCCGATTGCAGCTTTGTTCCAGCTGTTATCGTACTTATGAATAAATTGGAATCTATTTATTTATCGATTTTAGTACCATGTCTTGGAAAATCTTGTTATTTATATATTTAAGATTTATTGTGATTTTTAACCAAATCATTCCACCTCAATTCACCCCAAAAAATTGAAATTTGAACCCTCACATTGTCCAATGGCAAAGAAAATTGGTCTATGTTTAAGTCAAAGCCAAAAACGACAAAATCTCAAATTTTCGTTTGATCGGACCAACGTTTTCCGAGATATCACCATTTGATTTTTTCACTTTTTTGCGCGGTCGCCGAAATTTAAATTGCATTTACTCAGCAACTACTGGTCCGACATCAAAAACCAAGGTGTCTCTGCAAAGGGGAAATCATAAATAATCCAAATCTCGCATTTATTTTTGTATTTGAGTACTTTTGATCTTGAAATTGACAGTAAAGGTCACGCCCGACCTCAATGACACCAATAGAAAAAAATGTTGTCCTATATGTCTACTAGGGTTGGGTATCATTAAGAAGTCGCCGATACGATACATACCTCGATACAGTGAGTTTATGATTTGATACGATTCAGTACGATATATTTCAAATTGATTCAATAGGATTCAGTATAAAATAAAGGCTAAATCATGGCTCTGACACTAAAAGCCTTTGTTACACCACTTCTTGTGCAAAGTTAATATGAAACGCACCAATTTTAATCATCAAAACAGTGAAAATGTCAAATGTGTCGCATAAACGAGTTTAGTTCCTCTCAACAAGCAACAAAACTGTAGCTGTAACAAAATAATTTAGTAAAATATATTAAAAAAAAATACTCTTGGCGATATATCAATACAACAGCCCACAATATCGATACTGTTTCATCGCATTAAACTACACGATATATCGATATTTCAATATTTTTGCACACACCTAATGTCTACTACAACATGTAAAAAATCTGGAGGGGTTTTCTTTTTTATTTTCACACAGTTTACCTCGAAGTTGACTTAACCCCATCTTAAGACATGCCAAATATGTGTAACACTTTATTATTTGTAATTGTGTTTTTTTTTTTATGTGTTTATTGTGTAGAGTGTGGATGAATAAAATGTGACATATGGGACTTGTGACTCATGTTATTTAAGATCGACATTTTAACAGCACAAATCAGCTCCTCTGTCGTAGTTCTAACAAAGTTCAGTTCTCAGTTCTTTCTGGACAGATTGTGTTAAATTTAAGCTCAGATAAAAGTGTAACAGAGCCTCAGACAGAGCAGGGCCTAAATAAAATAATATATTATAATAATATAGTTACTGCGATTGACATTTAAAACCAAAATATGATATAGTCTGAAAAGTGAAAAGTCCTCAAAATGTTACCTTTAACCCGAGGCTGAAAATCATGAATAGAATATATCAGTGTCAATATTGATATTGACCGAACTGCGAGATTTTTTCATATATTTGTGGTTTTCAGATTGTACAATGTACGGTAGTCAAACAAAATATCGCTTTCGATCGAAGGATTTTCTGAAAAAGTGAGCATCAGTGGAAAAATGCAAAAAGGGAATCAGATGTGTGTGACTCCAAACCTCTGTTCAAACTGTTTCTCTTCCCAACGGAATTGAAAAATAGTGAAAGGTGAAGGCGATGGGCAGGATTGATCCACAGGAAGAACTGCCCAAATCATCCCGAGTTTGTAGAGAACATTTTGTATGTGGAGCGACAACAAAGTAAAATCCCCATCCCTCGCTCAAGATTGGTTATGAATTTAAAAAGTCAACGCCAAAGCGAAAGGCACCAACTGTTCACCAAGAAACACCTTCCACTGCAAAGAGACCAAGACGTGATGTTGCTGTAAAACCACAAGAACAAGAAAGTGCAGCTCAGTCTGTTTGTCTTCTGCTCCTCTCACTTAACAAACGGGATTTTACTTTGTTGTCGCTCCACATACAAAATGTTCTCTGCAAACTCGGGATGATTTAGGCCAGGGGTGTCCAAACTTTTTTCATCAAGGGCCACATATCTAAACACAGATGAAGCAAAGGGCCGATCGAGGGCCGTAGACTGAAGCTCAGTACAGTCAATAATTGAAATATGTGCATGTTTAACACATTAGAATGAGCCATCAGTCTTTATTCATACTAAGATCCTTAAAACCACACACTAAATATTAAATATCAGCTTTATCTAGGTAGATTTTCAAAAAACTTGCAGTAAAAAATAATTTTTAATTGATGCAAGGTTATTTGGGCCAATTCAACTGGAAGTCTGAGGGCCAAGAAAAAATGGTCTGAGGGCCACATTTGGTCCCCGGGCCATAGTTTGGACATCCCTGATTTAGACAGTCAATGTTTCCTTTTTGGTTCTTCCTGTGGATCAATCCTGCCCATCACCTTCACCTTTCACTATTTTTCAATTCCGTTGGGAAGAGAAACAGTTTGAACAGAGGTTTGCAGCCACACATCTGATTCCTTGTTGCAGTTACGGAGTTCCCAAACAGTGTTGGGAGTAACGCGTTATAAAAGTAACGAATTACAGTAATGCATTGCTTTTTGCTGTAACGCAGTAATGTTCGGCATTACAGGGGGAAAAATTGTAATATTTTACTCGGTACAAATGTGAGTCACGCGCGTTATAATGTTTTTTTAACCTGGATTGAAGTGGTGGGTTTTTCTTCGGAGACGCGGCCGTGTAGACCTTGGTAACCGCGGGCAAAAGGAGCGACGCAGAAGTCTACGCTGCTTAGTCCTGGTTTAGACCTGGTTCAGTCCATATACGGCGCAAAAGTTCAGCATCTTCGCAGTTATTTTGGTGGGAGTAACTTAAAGTAATGCAATAGTAATGTAATGCCTTACATTTTAAGTGCAGTAATATTGTAATGTAATGAATTACTTTGAAATGACAGTAATAAGTAATAAATAACGCATTACAGTTTTAAAGTAACTTGCCCAACAGTGATCCCAAACTAATTTCTCGAGCCGTTTTCCGCTGTTAGGATCCAACAACCACAACAATTAACGATGTCCGAATCTCAAAACTAAATTATGACAATATCAGAACCAGAAACAAAAGTGAAATGGTTCAAAAGACTTGAAAAGATCGACTTTGTCAACAGACACATCCCACTGGGAAAACAAACATGGAGATTTGATGCTCACTTTTTCAGAAAATCCTTCCCAGTATGAATTGCGCGATGACCGGAAGTCTGAGATTCTTGATGCGTCTATACCAGTGAGTTCTTGGGTCTTGTCATTAATAGAAATAATCAGGTTCAACATTTGAGAATTTAAGTTTTGAATATTTCATGAAAAAGTACAATGTAATTAATAGAGAAAACTGCCTCTTGCCTCCACCTGAGAGTCTGACATTAATCACACTCAACGATCTGAAAACCACCTGCTCAAAAAAACAACAACAAAAAACCCTTCACCTCTAACGAACGTCTCTAATGTTATTCCACATGGTCAAATTTCTATGAACATATTAAAAACATGT